TTAACATCTTGGATGCTACGGAAATGAGACTGATCCCTCGGTGATTGAAGTAGTCGTGGCGGGGGCCCTTCTCGAAAACAGTACGACTTCCGCCAAACACCATTCGGATGAAATGCATTCAGTATTCCAGTTGGTTTGAAATAAGAAAGTTAATTCTCAGACAGCGTGCATCATCGTCTTTGAAAAGGGCCGGAAGGAGCCCATCTAGACCGGGCGATTTGTGACGTTTCAGAAGTCTGAGCTCTCGGGAGACTTCTTCCTCTGTAGGCGATGAAATGTCCACAGTCGATGGAGCACTACAGGCATCTGGAGATGGAGGTGGTGATATCCTTGGCCAACAGAGTTGTTGATGGATTAGCTCCGCCCAGCACCGAAGCCAACGTTGTAGTTTGTGGATACATTCACCTTTATTTTCGTATATGGTTTCCCTGACGCATGGCTTTTTGTTACCAGTGTCTCGGATTAGTCGAAAAAGTTTGTGAGCATTACCGGAAGCAGAGGCTAGTTCCATCTCGGAAGCGCGTTGTGCCCACCAGGTCTCTCCATTCTCTTTTAGAAACCGTTTCAGTTCAGCACTGCGAGTCCTGCGAACTGTGTTGTATTCATTACCTGGAGGGATACTTCGACGAGTGTCCAGCATTTGGAGAAAGTGTACCGAAACCCAGTGATTGATTGTGTTTGGTGAAGCCACGTGCTGTGGTGGTGGACTTATTCATGGTGTTACGGATGTGAGTCTACTGGTTATCAACGTTCGAGGATGATAGACTGTCTAGGTCAGCAGCTAACGTGTTTTGGTAGACGGTAACTACGTTTGGGTCTGTCAGTTTCATCAAATCGGGTCTTTTCATATGACGTTGCTGTTTTCCGCTAAAGCACAGAGAGAACTTCGCGCACACGAGTGCATGATCAGAGCTGTGATATGTGCTCCAGATGGATGTGCAGTTCGTTATGCAATTTCTCCATCGATAGCTGATGTTAATATGATCTAGTTGAGTCTAGAGCTTATCAGAATATGGAGGTCGCCAGGTAACACGTTGGCTCCATGGTTGGCAAAAATTGGTACTCGAAAGGAAAAGACCATGCTCAGCGCAGATTTTCAGGAGGCGGCCGCCGTTGTCAGTTCTTCTAACACCGAGACTATGCTGGCCATCAAGTGAAGTTTCGTCTGCGTCTAATCTACCTACTTGTGCGTTCAAGTCACCGGCTAGTATCATGATGTCAGTGTATCGTCTACCGTGGTTGGTGATCTGTGATAAAACTAGTTATTTTGTGTCCGGACTGCAGTCCGTCGGCGCCCAAGCCACGATGTCAAACAGAAAGCTTTTTAGTCCCATTATGAGATGCACATACCGATCCTTTTAGACGGATGGCGCAGAGTCGATTATTGATTAGAATCCAGTCGAGTAAAACTGCTTCTGCACGTGCACTTAGTGCTATCCCCACGCCGGCCTGACCAGCGGCCTCTGCCATCGAATCTCCGGAGAAGCGGAGGGTGAACGAGCTTGCAGAATCTGGAGACGATAAATCCAGTTGCAGGACAGTGCTCGAATCTTGTAGGCGTGTCTCAGTAAGGCAGCACACGTCCATGGCAAGCGTTTCTAGTGTGCGAGCGAGTGTTGCCCGAGCCCCAACTTGCATAAGTGTTCGAACGTTGAAAGTCGCTAGCTTCAGCTGCCACCGGGGCGCGAGTACTGTTTTCGGGATAACCTGAGCGGATGTTTGTTTCTTTCGCATGGGCACAAGACAATGGTTTCTGCCGTTGCCTTGAGTAACACACTGTTGGAGACTCGAAATAATAGGTGGGAAACCGAGAATAGGAAAGCCCAACAATTGAGGAAGGGAAAGAGTATGATTCGTTGGTGTGGAGCCGACCGCCATCACCTCGGTCAGAGAGCGCATAGTTCGTGAGAGCGAAAAATTCAGAAATATATTGTATTCATAGGTTGTGTAGGCATGTTGCTTCCCGGTTGCCCTGGCCGAAGAAGGGGAATAACCTCGAGTTCAGACCAGTAGATTTCGCCGGTTAGAGCACGTATTGCGTACTGCCATGTGTTGTCTGCTGCACCGCGCTTTATTCGCTGTAGCCGCTCTGGGCTGGAGGACTCCATGTGGTAGTCAACTGATGACGTGGAGACGAGGCCTGAAGAAATTCACAGGGCCATAAGGTATCTCTTGCCTTCCCAGTTGGGGTCCGAAAGACTCCGCAACTGGTTGATTGGAGACATTAAAGGATGTGGCAGCAAACCGACAGCAGTGACGTTCTTGTTGTCATTTCTTATCAGAACAGAATACTTGAAACGGTATATATGCACATTTAGATTGTATACTCTGTGTTGAACAGCGCATTGCACAAGTATGTTAGGAAACCGGAGAAGCAGTGCTGAGATTAGTTGCAGTTTTAGGTAATCGTGGTCATCGCCTAGAGTAAGTAACCGACTTCTATGGATTCCGCTGGTTGAGGCATGTGGTACGCATGTCACTCAACGGACTACCACGACTCGCGATTCGGTCCGGTGGTCTTTCTCGGTTACAAAGGTACCTTAGTCTCCGGATCCAGCGTCTAAGCTCGTTATGTGTTGCACTTTCAACAGTGTCGCAGCGTCAGGGATCGTTAGCCACCCGACATTTTCTCACCGCAGACTCTGAGCTTTCCTAAGGCTATTACTCATATAACACACAGCAGAGCAGTCTCACAAGCTCTGATAGACACAGGAACCTCCTAAAGAGGCGCAATCCATGGGTGTATTTCTTGAGACTTGTTTGCGGCCATGCCTTCCTCCGAGGGAATGGAACTTTCGGGCTTACAGGTAAAGAACAATAGTAGGATTATTTGATGTTGTAGTAAAAGTAGCAGTCTTGAATAGATCCGAGCAACTGGTGGCCGGTGGGGATTTGATTTATTGAAATTCATTATTCAGGATTACAAATAACTTGAAGCAATAGAGAACGATCACCGTTGAATTCGTCTCTCCTCTTAGGTGAACTGCTATCAGTCAGCATGTATCCGGGCACGGCGTTAAGCCGTGGCACCTCGTTCTGTTGCTTTTAATCTGCTCTGAACCGTAGTTGGTCACTTACTTGAATCCATTTAAGAAGCGAGCGCTCAACCTCAATACTTATCGCAATCCCAACAGCGGCACCATTGCGAGCGTTAGACTCCGAATCGCTTTATACACGAAGAATCACTTATGCTCTATGTGATTGTATCCTGATGAACTCAGTGGGGTTTTACATGCTTGTTTCAAATACAGTACCATACATCTACAGTGCAATTTTCGTAGGTTTTAGTTAAGATAGCTATCTGATGAAGTATGCCTAAATTGAATATGACCATGTGAAGATGATGTCTCAGTCTGATCGATCGATTCAGTGAACTTGGTTTGGTATAACAGGTTCAATACTCTCACTCTTTGTCTGTCTCACCACGATGTGCGCGTAAAATTAAAGCGAGTAATAGTATTCCATACCCTGTTAACCCAATTTACCTGTAACAACATCTGGGCGATGCTAAGCAGATAAGGCATCAGCCCTGACCTCTGGGTTCCAGAGAATGCCTACGACTGCTGCGCTTCTTGCAGATTGTTTTGTGGGTCAGCTTTAGTTAGACAAGTATATAAACCGCCAGAGGGTAGGTTTATTAATGGATGCGTGTCCGAATAAGCGAACGATCAAATTTGGATCGAATATTTCCCCATTATTTAAATCTTTGGGGAAAACGAGAAGCGCAAATTTATCAATCAAGCTTCACGCGATCATTGTTACTTAGCAGATGAGCGAGAGAAAATTAAGAATTGATGGTCTTTGCTCAACCGGCTAATCTTAGGGAGCATACATCCGTAACTTACAAACCGCTCAATAAAAATAACTTCTTTCTGTTTTTAATTACTCAAACTCCAACTTAATCCATCCTTTTCATTTCAACATGCCTTGGATTATCTCTAACGTTCTACTTTATCTTATCTTGCTGTGCGATCTCATTTCAGCGTTGCCATTCAAGTTTCATTCTGATATTAGGCTGATTTACTGCAGCTCAAAGTGATCGATGATTGCTCCTCAAAGTCACTCCGGATTTTGTAAGTGTTTGCCATTTTTGTATCTAGTTATTTATTAGCGTACCCTCTATTTGGGGCTTTCCGCTTTTTTTGATGTTCAACGCTATATATGTATTCCGTTTTGTGCATCTGAAAGACTAGTCGCTTGGTCGGTTCAGTCCAAAAAAGCCATTGCCCGTTACGCTTCATTTGCTATATACGCGACAAATATACCTTTGATATANTTTTATATATATATATATATATATATATATATATCTGACGCCAGACTGTGTGCCAAACAAATGGTAGTAAAATAATCTTCACATTAAATAAAAACATTCTGTGATTTGCACGTAGGCTAACTACTGCCAGGTTACCCAAACCAAGGCAGGTAAGTAAATGGAAGTTGAAAAATTGGGATTGGGTTGGTAGTTTGCATGGTTTCATTTTCATGATTTTTAGCTTTGTTTAAAAGAAGAGTGGTTGGTGCAAACGGGTCAGCAGCCTGGCGCATACTATGAAATCGATCTTTCGCGCAGTGCAAGAAGCAAGAGAAAAATATGAGTAGTTAATCAAATACAGTAGCTCTGAAGACAATCATCCGTTAGGAAACGCTCGTTCGTTCAACAGGGATAAACGGGGGAGGGGGGGGCGCAGGTCAAAATGTAACCAACTGAATGGATTCTTTTATCATTAGTCCGTTTAAAGGAAGTTTCGGAAACCTTCAACATAACTCGGTCGATGTTTACAGGGTCAGAATTGGAAGACTTAAGTAAGGCAGTACGATCACGAGGACGTATCTACGAAGGGAGTACCATAAATACGATGTAGCATGGCGTTATAGGCCAAGGCGGCATAGGGTTAAATGTCGTTTATATGTTAATAGAAGGAAAAGGCAACTCGAAATACACGAAACCTTAAGTAGGATCGAAAAAAGATTGAGAGGGAGAAAGGTAGGCCTACTCGAACAGAGAAGAAACCGCTACCGAAAAAGCTTAAGCCGTGAATTGTGTGGTTTGGCGGATAATAGATATAACGATCACGTGTTTTAGATTGTA